AGATCCAAGGGCAGAGCTGGGATGGAGGCAAGGCCCAGGAGCTTTGGAACAGGGTCATCATGTGGGCATCTGAGACCCCTGCCCAGCCTCAGGACACAGTCCATCTGCAGGAGCAGTTGCTGATGCTCACCGAGGTTGGTCAAGACAGCTGGCAGGGGCAGCCTCACAGGGAAGGGAATCTGGGCATCAGCTGATCCAGGCCACACCCATGCGTACCGGGGGTAGAGGCAAGGGTCCCTGGGCTCCGTTCCTAGGGGATTCCAAGTTAGGGCAAGGGCCTTAGGGGAACAGGAGAAAGGAAAATAACCAGGAGAGATACATTCTAGCAGGGTGTCCACACAGCGAGACTCCAGAGAGCACCATCCTCATCCTCACGTAACTGGCTCCCCTGCCAGTGTGCAGCCAGGCGCTGGTCCAGAGTGGAGCCTGGAGTGTGGACGAGACTCTGCGGGCTGTGGTGGTCAGAGAGTTCTCCTAAGAGGATTGAGACCCAGAGGAAGAGGAGATCAGGGCCTCTAAGACCAGGGAGCTGCGTGGGTAAAGGCCCGAAGGACAGCTGGAGCCCCACAGCCCTGGTGGAGGCTGAGCCACAACTCGGTGGGGCGGGGATCTTCCCAGGTGAACAAAGGGCTCTCAGAAGAGCTTGGCGGGAGCCACCAGCAACTAGGGGACTGCTTGGAGCAGCTGCAGCATCTGCAGGGAGAGCATATGGTGCTGGGGGGCCGTGTGCAGGCCCCGGAGGCAGAGCGCACCTGGCTACCCAGGGAGAAGGCAGTGCTGCCAGCGGCACTGGGTGTGGCCCGGGCCAAGAGGCCTGCTGGGTGACTGCTCGGGCCAACCCTCAGAGTGTCCAAGCCAGGCTGGGGTGGGTGCTCTGCTTTCACAGTGGGTGAGATGGCCCTCTCAGCAGGTAGTAGGCCAGCCTCTGTCACCAGCTGGCTGAGGGGGAATGGCCCAGAGCCCTAAACCTGGAATCACGTGTCCAGAGCCCGTCTCCCTTCCCCAGCTATCAGCGCTCCTGCTGGTCACATTCTGGCTCTTTTATGAGGAGGGAAATCTTTCAGCTTCAAGAAGTCCTGTCTTACCTACACATGGCCAAGCCCATCCTGCTGGCCCAGAGGCAGGTGGGAGGTGGGGGTGAGACGACCTTAGCTGCTGGGTGCAAGTCAGGGTGCTTGGGAGAAGCGCCCAGTACAAAGGGGTTCTGTGTGCAGGGAGCCATGAAAGAGGCATCTCTGCCCCACCCCCCTAGTCCATAGGACATAATGAGAAAGGAATCCTTAAAAGGGAGTGGGGTGGGGTGATCTGGGGTCTACGCTCTACCTGTACCCCATTTCTTCCCATCCACGAGAGGTGCAAGAGGCACCAGTGCCCCTCAGGAAAGAGCTAGAGGCACAAGACTCACATCCCAGGCTTCGTGAGGACATGGCGCAGTACTGGAAGGCACCCTGGCACCAGGTGGCAGTTGCCCTGGAATTTCAAGAGGAGGAACTGCAGAGACTCCAGAGGCAGAACGGGACCTGGCCTCCCCAGGTGGGCACTCCCTGGCTCCCTCCTTCTCCACCTCCCAGAATCCCCTTCTCCCCATTGTTTTCCCCACTGCCCAGTCTTTCCCATGCTAGGGACTGGGGGTAACCAGCTAGTCTCTTACCCCTCCTCAGGATGTCCCCATCTTGATCCTATGCATCCTTCCGTTTTCTGCCTTTTCCTCATCGTGGCTCATCATTCTCCATCCATGTGTTCAGCACGCATTTACTGAGCATCTACTACATGCCTGGCCATCTTCTGTGTGCAGAAGCAAGGTCAAATCTGATCACTCCTTGTCCTCAACAGCTTATGGTTTGGAGGCAACAGTCATTGAGCATTTATTATTGATTTAATTATTAACAATTTATTATTGATTATTGTTTTATGATTGATTGATTAATTGGGTCAGGGTCTCACTCTGTCACCCAGGCTGGAGTACAGTGGTGCAATCATAGCTCACTGTAGCCTCAAACTCCTGGGCTCAAGTGATCCTCCGGCCTCAGGTAGCTGGGACTGCAGGCAGACATCAACATGCCTAAGTTTTTCATTTTTTATGTTTGTAGACATGGAGTCTCACGACATTGCCCAGGCTGGTCTCGAACTCCTGGCCTCAAGCAGTTCTCCCGCCTGGGCCTCCCAAAGTGCTGAGACTACAGGCACGAGCCACTGTGCCTATTTTGCAAGCAATGATAACTTAATGTGCCAGATGAGGGAAGAGGCACTATGGGAGCTGGTTAGGGGTGGCAGATAAGAGAGTCCTTCCCAGAGAAGGCGTTTCTGAGCCTCTGAACCCTCACACAGGATAGACTGGCATTTTCCAGGAGCATGGAGGGAATGAAGGGCATTTCAGCAAGAGGAAACTACACGTGCATACATCAGAGATGGAGGAGGAGTGTTGTAAACAGTCCCTGATCAGATGAGAGGCAGAGTGGCCGAGGGGTTACTATGGACGTGGGACAGGGTCCAGATCCAGGGCTTAGACGTCCCAGCTCCTGTCCACCTGACTTCAACTCCAGCTTGGTGGCTGCCTTCTCCTGGCCAGCATCCCTTAGTCTTCTGGACAAGTGTATGTGTGCATGGGCAGACAGACACACAGACTCACATGCACACACCCCCCAAGGTACACTTCAGGCATGTGCATGCACTCCCAGATATGCACACACAGAGACACAGAGATACAGACACCAGCCAGGTGCCTGGGAGCCACAGGGAGGTAGAGTTGTAAGGACCCCAGGTGGGATCCACTTCTGCCAGGAGGCCCCCGACTGAAGCTGACCTGCTGATCTGGATGGAAGGAAAGGGAGAGAAAGCTTAGCTGGCCTTGGGCCTCATTCAAGGCCGAGTTGGTCCAATTCAGTGTATCTCAGACGGGTACAGAGCTGTGCTCAGAGGGGGGCGGTTCCTTATGTTTGCAGTGTAGTCTGCCACTGTATATTTGTACAGAAGAAAATCTCAGCGTTTTCTTTTCTTTCTTTTTCTTTTTCTTCTATGTCTCAAACCAGACCGGGAGCAGGAGAGGATATATCCTCAGGGCCTGGATGGGCTGTATTCTCTGGTCAAGTCTGAGGACCTGCAGTGGACAACGTCAGTGAGAAGGTAGTGGAGTGACAGAGGGCTGGGCCCTTGGCAGATTCGTCTCGTGGTAGGAAGTGGTGCCAGGGGAGCCATATGCACGTAGCCTGCACGTGACACATAAACCTCTGCCAATTTGCGACCCACATGCAGGGCCTTCCAGCCCCTCGGAGACTTTCAGGCCATTTCTACTCCCTCCCTAGACCCCTGGAAGGCCAACCCAGGACTCACCTTCTACAGGCAGGTGGGGGCCCGGGGCCCTGGGCGTGTCCAGCGAGGGTGGCCTACAGTGCAGACCCTGGGTTACGCGCAGGGGTCCTGCGCAGAGTGGCCGATGGACCAAACGAGCAGTGCTCTTCCAGCAGGGCGAGCCTCTCGGAGGTGGGGCAGCAGCTGGATAGGGTCTGGACGAAGCCACATTGCATCAACATCAGACTGACCAGGGGTTCAAGAGCTCAGCACCCAGTGCTCCCAGGGGCTCTGGCACGCTCCTCCTCCAGTCACATCCCCAGCCTCAAGCTCCTCCACCCAACTCTCTCTGGGTCTCTATCTCAGTCTGCCTCCAATCCCAGGATTTAGTAGTCTGCACTGTCCCCGGATTAGTGGATAAGATTGTGGGTTTCAATCTTGGCTTCAAGATATACTAGCTGTGTGACCTTGGCCAGTTGCTCTGCCTCTCTGGGCCTTACCTGCAAAAGTGAAAATAACGGTTATCCTGAAGAGGGTTACATGGACAAGCACATGAAAACACATGGTGTTCGGTCACGTGTTTGCCACTACGATTGCACACGTCCTGCTGCTGCAGGTGTGGCCAGTTGGAGGAGAAAGTTCCCCTCGAAGTCAGGGTCCTTTTGGGGCCAGAGAGCTGCCACAGGGGCTGGATTCCACTTACCCTCTGTGTGAGATTCCTGGGGCTGTGGTGACAAAGTGCTGAAGACGGGGTAGCTTCAGCGGCAGGTATTCACTGTCTCCTGGTTCTGGAGGCTGCAGTTCGGGTCAGGGTGTCGGGAGGGTTCGTTCCTTCTGAGGGCTGTGAGGGAGGGTCTGTTCTAGGCCTCGCCCCCTGCTTCTGGTGCTTTGCCAGCAGACTTTGACACTCCTCCCCGGATGTCTGCATGGCGACTCGCTGTGTGTCTGCCTGTGCCCACGTTTCCCCTGTGTATAGGACTCCAGTCACCTTCGATTAAAGCCCAGCCTCGTTTCTTCATTTTAGCCTGATTACCTCTGTGATGATCCTGTCTCATCACGGGGTACTGAGCACTTCAATATATCTCGTGTTGTTGTTGTGGGGGATACAGTTCAACCCAGGTGCCCCCTGTTTGCTTCCTGCCACCCTCCCGGCTGGGTGGTTTGGATTGGGTGCGACTTGAGACCTCAGGGCCCCAGTGCTCCCTCTTGTTTCTCCCCTCATGTAACCACAGGACCCTCACACCACTGCAGAGAGGCGAGAATGTGCACAGGGGGAGCTGCGGTGAGACCGGGTGGGTGCTGCCCCGTGAGCCCCCTGCGTCCCTAGTCCACATGCCCAGCCAGGGAGGGCATGCCCGGGCCCAGGAGGACATCCGCTCCCCTCTGAAGGCTGGACCTGCCCAAACCCAAGAGTTGTGTGAGGGTTTCTGTGGGCGTGAGAGGATGGGGGAGCGGGGCCTCTGGATGG